AATATACACCTATTATATAGAAGTGTAATAAAACCTTATCCATATAATCCCAATGTGCCGTCGAAGCAATTATTAGTATTTAAGACTGCATAAACGATACCCCGAACCGATCCTATCCAGTGCTGTAAAGTTTATATTTAACATCCAGCCCAGCCCAGCAACCCCCCAACCCCATCACCACACTCGCCAAGCACTGTTCGAATACAAAACGATAAAATACATTCGAGATCCTTTCATCATAAACGCAGTATCACAAAATAAATAAACGAGTATATAACAAGCAGACATATAGCTAAATAAATATATATATATATATACATACAGATATATGTATATAGTTGATAGATCAGACAGGGAGCTATAGCTGTCCCCAAGCACAAGTGCAGCTCACAATTGGAACAACTCGTTCCGAGCAGTGTCCTGCTACGACAAATTTTACGAAGCAAGAATCAAAATATGTAACGAACTCAAAACTAGAAAAAAAGGAACAACAAAACCCATTTTTTACTACCAATCTTTAACCTGAATACATAAATAAATAAATAGATAGTAAAGATATTTCCAAAACGTTTTTCAACACTTACAACAAAGTCTACCAAAACTCTGGTTATACGAAGTCCATTTCATGAATTCCACATAAAACTTGAAAAAGAATTCTTAAAATCTTTAATTGCTAAAATAGATTTATATTTTGCTAAAAACAGGGACTCATGAAATGCCTCGTGTAAACATTGTATAAAAGTTGTTTATTTTATTCAATTCAATACCTAAGGTAAACATCAAATGGCCTGCAAGAAACCATAAGGAGAGTGGAATAGTTAGGATAATACAGTGATCCGAAGCCCCATATAATAGACATTGTTTATAGATAATACAAGCCCCTGAAAATCCCCTGAAAAAAAAAAACCCCCCTCATTGCTAATCTACTTAATAAATGTAACAAACAAAAGAAAAAGCCACACAAAACTAAAAACTTCTAAAGTGCAAAAAGGAAATGTTTTATTTGATTCGAGTACCAGAACTTATACACATACGATTATATGCATACATATATCTACCGATAATCTAATTGTTAATATTAGTAACCGCGATGTTTTTGCAAGATTTCCCTTTTTTAATTATCGATGTAAAACCCTAGTTATAAACTAAACTTAAATGCGAGCAAAAAGCGAAATCTTTGCAGCAAAAAACACAAGAAAAAACCGACAAAAAAAAAGAAGAGAAATATATTTGTAATTATAAATGTAATTTATGTGGGCAACGCGCAAATTAAATAAATGAAATATACACAAAACAAAATAAAAAAGAAATATAAGTCTTTTGTCCTTGCAGTTTTGTGTTAAGCAAAAAATATACTTATAAATAAAAATGCAAACAACAAAACTTAAAGAAATATAATAATAATAATAACTATAATGGTTAAGAAAGTGAAATGCTAATTATAAATTACACTATTATTATACAAATACAAACTAGGTAATTGTGTATGTAATATATGATTACACCTATGAAATAACGATAAATCAACTGCAGCAACAAACAAGAAACCAGCCCGAGGAGAATCAGCCATAAGATTATATTCAATGTAATAACACAGTTATTTGTTTCAAATAAATCTTAAATTTGATTTTAAAGTCCAAGAAACTATCCATCCATTTTGTTGCATCTTTAAGAAGCCATCCGGAGCCACCTGTTCGATTTCGATTTCGATTTGAGGGCCAGCCCCCAAGGGAGAGCGCTATCCAATCCATCCCTCTTTTGCAAATGCCGTTTACGTGGGACGCATGCCATGCATTATTCAGTGTGCGAATAATTGCACGTAAAATTATGTAAATTTATAGAAAAAATAATAATCAAGCACATTTATTAATTGCTCGCTGGCTCACACTCTCTCACACACAGCACACGCTCTGGAGGCGCTTACCCACACTGGGATACGGGGGACATGTACATACATATGAGTAGTGTAGTTAGTGTCTTTGTTAATAAGCGCGGCGCAGTTTGTGTTTTGTGTGTGCTAAATTTTGTAGTCAAAGTTCAAAGCGGGAAATTGAATAACTGCCGGGGGGCCGGAGATACTCTACTCCACTTGATACCCATGCAGATCAACGGGCGACAGTTGTGTCTTTCTGGCAATGATCTTTAGATACTCAATTGTACTATAATAACTTTCTACATAATTCTCAATCTAATTAGAAGAAAAATCTGACTTTTCGCTTAGCTTCGAGCTATTAACTCTTCAGATCCGTTGTTTGAACATGTGCGACGGTGGGAGATAGACGGAAGAGACTCTGCCAAAGCGTCGAAGATTAAAGAATAAATAAAATAAATAATAATATGCTGAGGACGTCAGTATTTGGTTAATAAATAATACAAGCAGATATAGTAATTCCAAAATCAAGTTTTCGATATTTACAGCCGCAAAACCAATTAACAGGAGAGAGGCAGAGCAAGAGAGCCTCTCTCTTTCTCTCTCTCTCTCCTCGCATTAACTCTGACAGCAACAGGCTGCTAACGGTAAAGGGCAAGCCGCCGCACATGTGGTAATGGAACGAATAAGCGTGTGGAAGGGCGTGTGCTTTGGCACAAAGCGCAAAGGGGGTAAAAACAAACAGTTGAAGCTTGTACAGTCAGGCTTCATATGGAAGAACAAAGTCTAATGGAAATGTTGACAAAAATCACTTTGAAGTACGACAGAGACAATCAGCTAAATTATGCATATGGAAAAACAGTGCTTATGGAGTAATGCAATATTCAAAACTTTTTAGAGAGGTTCGACTGTAGCCAACTGTTAACCAAAGAACAACTTTGGCCCGCGCCAAAACTAAAACGTGGAGAATGAACCAAAGGCAGAAACAGAAACAGTGAGTGGGAGAGGGAGAGGGAGACCCACACAGATAGTGGGAGAGGGAGGGAAGTACAAGATTGCTAGCATTTGTTGATTATTATTTTTTGTTCATGTTATTTCTTAATTAAGTGCTAAAATGGCATGAAATCAAATCGCTTGCTTGATTAAGTGTGTGTTGGTGTGTATGTGTCTGTGTCTGTGTGTGTTAGTTAAAGATGACGCTGTGACGATAACGTCATTACCGTTATCAGAGCTCTAGCACTCAAAAGGCGCAAATGTTATCAGTGGAACGCAAAAAGCACGAGAGAAGAAACAACATCAGCAAGCAGCAACAACAACAACAACGATCTGCTCACTGCTCAACAGAATCAGTCCACTTTCAGTGCACGGCATTCGTCCATGCCACGCCACCCATTTCATCCATGGGGGGGCATGGACGATGGGGGACATTGACAGCGTTCGCTCTCGGCCTGCACTGGCCTGGCCTGGCCCAAGGTGTCTTTAAATGAGGTGATGCATTGCTTGTCTTGCAAGCTGTTTAAATTGAATGCCACTAGCGAATCTCTCCCACTTTCTGTTACGAAACTATCCTAAAAGCTCTCTCTCTCTCTCTCTAGTCACCCTATATTTATACTCTTTGTGCCTTTCCATATACATATATACAATTGTATGTATGTAGTTTCGGTGGCACACAACAGTTGAATGCACCCGAGTCCGAGTCCCCTTATTGATAAGGTTCAGGAGAAGAGATTCTCTCGTGCTCCCTCCCCTACCCCCCTGAAACTGTTGGAATAATCATAATGGCAAATAATTAGTATTGATTGTAGGTCGCACTTTCCCTTTGCCTACAGCTTGATAGTGGGGCGTGGTAGCCGCCTCCGAGTGTACATATGTATGTATGTACATATGTACATTTTTGTGATAGCAGTCGCTAAAAATAGCCCATACGCCTCAGAGGGCCCCCACGTCATTGCCGTTAGAGTTGGGTTTGGCACATGTACTCGCATTTATGCTTGGATGCATTGCCTCCTCGAGAGTGGCAGGATGGATATGGCGTTCCGGGAAATGGAGAATATAACGGATAAGATGGAGGAGGATGGCGTTCCGAGAAAATGGCGCTCCGAGACAAGGGTCCCTGTTCTGCAGCTGGCACTGAAAGAAGAACAGTGGTGCGAAATAGATTGCCAACTGCAGCAACAATCTTAAAGCAGTGCAAGCAGGCACTCTTTAACCCTGAGATGTGTTATTCCAACAGAGATGCTCACTCCGATACAACGGTACGTTGCTCTTCAAGCAGCGAGAGAGCGAGAGTGCAACCCAGAGATGAGCTAACGGAATGGTGCAGAGAGACAGTGCACACTTAACCCTGAGATGCTCAACATATGCAATTCATATTCATATTTGTCCACTGTGCACCGCAGACTTTGATTAAAACAATAAACAACTGCAACAGCAACAGCAGCACGAAGAAGAAGGAGAATGCAAGAAGGAGAAGAAGAACCAGTAAAGCAAATAAAAAACACAAATAGAAAACTGCATTGTAATGAAACGTAAACAGGCGATAATAATGCAAAAACATTTTAATTTGCCAATCAGCATGCGTCCTCTCTATCTTATCTCTGGCTGCATTTGAGATCCTCTGAACAAGGAGGCGAAGCTTCCTTCCGAGACTCATCAGCAGAGGGAGAGAGCCACCCGCCTCTGACTGTGCTGACTGTCAAGGCTGCGTCACAGATCGGAAATAGACATCAGTTTTGGCGGGCTGAAATACCTAAGAACTATTTGCATTTTCCGTTACCACAATTATTTAAACAGGCTGTTCAAATATTGGTTAAGTCGAGGAGCCGAGCCCTGGCCATGTGAGTCGACTGCGACGTCATGGCTGATTGCCTGATGGGGGGGGGAGTAAAGGTAAAGTACCGCCATACCGCAGCGATGGTGATGTCGCCGTGATAAGAATGTCGAAAACAATGGCCAGACATTGTGATTTGTTGTACAGGCGGGCCCCAATCCACCGCTCGCTCCAAGTCAATCGATGGAAAGATACCAAATAAAATGTATTAATTTATTTTTATGAATCAAGAATTTGAGAATTTCGGCGTCGCATTGCAGTAGCAGTTTCTCTCACCCTAAAAAGCTCTCTCTCACTCTCTCTTGTACCACTCTTATAGTGACTCTCAAACTGTGGAATTTATTTTATTGGAATTAAAATGTTAAACTTTATTCGTAAGCAGATAATCATCGTCATCGTCGTCGACTGCCTCCTCAACTACACTGTAGGAGCTCTTGCCCTTGCCATCCTTGGCCAGATGCGTCTCAAAGAACTCCTCGACGGTGTCCGTGTTCCACTTGGTTATGGACAGCGTCTCCTGCACCTTGCCAGCGGCATCGAGCAGCTTCACCACGGGATCCAGGCCACGGACATACTTGATCTGGAGATTGGGGAACTTGGCGGGCCGGCCGCTTTGGACGAAGGCTTGTATCTGGGGATAGGCACGGAATTTGCAGGTGCACACCTCGAGAATTGCCTTTGCATAGGTTCGCTGTGCTGCCGGCTGCTGATCCAAAGTGCAGCACTGCTTGCAGGGGGTCCTGTGCAATGGAAGATAAGATGTTAATGGAGCAATGCTACACGTACTGCCACTCACTTGAGGGTCTCCAGACCAAAGTCATCCAGTTTTTCGCAGCTGGAGCACATTAACTGGGCCTTAATAAAGCCCAACTCCCGACAGTCGGCAGCCGTGAATTCAGCATGGATTTGCTGACACTGAAATGCAGTTGAATTTTATCTCTTGCAGGCGGTGGCGCACTGAATACTCACACTAATAGCTAGCAAACAGCTGGTAAGAAGCACAAGTTTCTGCATAATTTTGGCTATTCCAATTAAATATAATATGTCCACGTCTGTTTACTTGTTTACAATATATCGATATGTCGGTATATCGGTATGAAATAGTATTTTTATCAATTTTCCGGAATATTTTGAAAATGGTAATTTATATTTTGGTATATTTGGGAAATATATGGGAAAAATTACAGCAAAATCTGGAAATGAATAGGCAGCATTGTTTTGCAAATTTTGGCACGAAATGAGCAACAATCTGCATACCTTGGTAAAATGTATATTATGGACTTGAGATTTTGTTTGTAATTTCAGGCTCCAAGTAATGCAGAAACTACTCAGTCTCTTATTAAAAGACATCAACTAAATTTTGTAGCTCATGGGTACCAATAATAGGTATCAGAACCGGGATAAATGTATATATAAAACACAAAACATTTGCATAGATAGGTAAAAAATAACTTAATCTAACGAAAATGCAATATTAATGTTTTAAAGCAGCCTGAAACAACAAATTTAACATCAATTAAAGGAAACAAGGTATACAAAAGTCCATACGCATAGAAGAAACTTGGTTGACCAGCAACAATGTCGTCACATTTAGTCAACAATTACGTTTTATGCTTTGGCCGTTTTTGTTCGAACCCTATTATCTAAGCAATCCCATTAAAAATAGGTTTGAAAACTAGCCAATCCCAAACAAAATTCATTGAGGAATTGCATAAAATAATTTTTTTAGGGCTGAGAGGGCCAACTAGCTAGTAATATTAAACGGAATATCAAAATCGAGGAATATCAACGTTGAATGTTTCGAAAAAAACAATCGATACTATCGTAATAGTATCGGGCTCAAATAATTATTAAAAAACCATTGAAACCTTTTAGGAACTTGTCCATTGTAAAAATTAGATGCCACCTGTCGATTTGTTTACAAATTTGTCTTCGTATTTTAGAGCAGCTAATCCAGCCAAACATATCAAAAGCGCAAAGACTGTAGCTCGATACTATCATGATAGTCTCAAGACCATCGATAGTAGAGGCTAGCAGCAAAATATCGATACTATGGATAGTGCCCTCTTTGGTTTGTTCAAATATAGTTTAAAGATTAAAAATTAAAAAGAGCAATAATCAATATACAGTGTCTGGGTCGCATCTGTGATCCGAGCCAAAAAACCAACAGTATTCTGTGCGTGTTTGGCAAACAACAAATTTTGTGGCCAAATCAATAAATTGGAGCGTGCGAGAGCGAGAGCTGCGCAAAAGAGAAAAAACGAAACCCGCAGCAAGCAACGCATAGAGGAGGAAAAAAGGTGAATAAATAGAACATGGCACAGAAAAAGGCAAAATGCAAGAAATCCGATTTAAAATTAATTAAGAAATAAGACGAGAGCATCGAAGCAAAGAGGTAAAAGATTGGGCCCAGAAATAGAGAGAATGAAAACGGTTATACAGCCTCAGGCTCCAGGAGAGCAGAAGTGTTCTTGTGTGTGTGTGTATATGTGCGTGTTTGTTTGGAAAATTAACATTTATAAATTATAATCCCACGGGATTTCGTAGTGAGGTGTTAAAAAAATTCACACTTGCTATAGTGTGTGTGTCTATCTGTTTATTTAATTTATATTTACTCAAGTAAATTAATTCGTTTGCCCTTGTACAAAAGCAACAACAAGAGGCTTGGAAACTTGTTCTGACTTGCAGTGCCGCCACCCACCCCCTCTCTCATTCTTATTCTACTGTTCACACACACACACATGCAATAACGCATTGTGGCTGTGCTTTAGCTGTTCATTCAAGCTGCCCCTTGAGTGGAGGGGACCTTCCTTCCATTCAGACAGCTTCCGCTTGCATCTTTCTCATCTCTCTTATGTGCACTGGTCCCGTTTAACGGGTTTGGCCATGGCAGCTGCCCCTCTCTCGCTCTCTCTCTCTCTGTCTTTCTACACCTGCTGCATATGTCAGCCCCTTCCAGTCGCCTTCCAGACAGCAGCCGTCCACGCGCTCAAATTTCTTATCAACAGGCGGCCATAAAGCAGAAATCCAAAACCAGGCCCAGAGACTGAAATCGTAAACTGCGTTATATTTTTTTTCTTGCTAATTTTTGCACGCCTTTGTCGTGCCAGGTTTTTGTTTGCTTTCTCCCTCTAGAGGCTGGTGATAGCTCAAGTACAATGTTACTCCCTCCCTCCCTCACACACACACACACACACACACACACACACACGCGCGCACTCTTGCTGTCGTGCAATTTTGCCATATTTCAAATACATATGTACATCTGACTCATCCACAGGTAACTGTAACTGTAATTACCCTAGCATCCACACACATGAAATCCACACTTGTGGAAGCCATTCGCCCACTTTATCAATGGCGTTCAAATCGTGTTGTTTTTTTTGGTGTACTAATCAGCATTCGTTTTGTTTTCACCTTCTGCCTCTCGCCGGAGGCTTTGATAAGTGCCCCAGGTGGCGGCCCATGGGGCTCGTCATCGAGTCTATTAGCTCACTCTTACAGGGTTTATTACGACTGTATGTCCGGTTCAAATGTATCGCCCACAATCACACACATGCGCGCATTTGCATGGCACAAATTAGGCCCAACCTCAATCGACTCCATCTCTCTCCTCTACTAACCCCCTCACCCTGCGATTGCTCCCGGCTCACGCAACTTCTTGATTGACTACAACTATTTTTGGGTCCCTTCCCTCCGAGTGTGTATGTGTGTGTGTGTGTGCTCTCTCTCCCCTCGACTCTGGTTTCTTTCCATTTCAATTGACCGAAAGGTCAACTTGATTGCATTTGTATCTTGGGCCTCTGTCAGCCGGCAGAAGGCACATCCCATTCTCATCCTCTCCTTGCCTCTCTCACTCTTGTGACTGTCAGTCCTCGTTTCCATTTCAGCTGTCTACTTTCGCTTCTAGCTGTGTGAGTACGTTGCTTGTTATTTATAGAAGCCAGAGTGTGCATGTATCATTGGGAGTGAGTGTATTTGGCTGTTCTTCTAGTTCCAGCGTGTCCTAACGGTTAAGTTCAAGGACTTTACTGTGGAAAGCAGGAGCAGCAAAACCACTGTACTAAAAATTGGGCGGTGTACGTATGTACAGGACATTAGCTGCACATAAAACTATCAGAAATATATTTGGGCAATCAATTGTGATTGCATTCATTGGTCGCTCCTCTTGGAGCAATTTGTGTTACTAGCAGTGGTATTCCACAAACATTGTTTGATTTGATTTTTCACTGAAATGATTCCCATATCAAAACTAAAGTAATATTGTTTTGTTTATACTTATAACCTGCGACTGGGAGCAGCTTTTACAAGTTAAATCAAATAAATCAAAATCAATTTGTGGAATACCCCATATGCATTTGTGGCCAGAGATGGGCAGACAGTCATGTCCGCCTCTTAAATATCGATAGTAACAGCGATTAACAATAGACCCAAGTAATCAGTTGAATCGTTGGGAAATTGTTTGGTTTGAATGATAAGATCTAACTGCTGGCGTGTTATCTGTGATTGTTTACACACGCATGTACCATACATAAATAAATATATATTCAAGTGTTTCAAGTGCATTTTTATGTCAAGTGCGTGACAAAGGAGAGTGACAAGAGAAATATTTAATGAATAAATAAAAACTGTGTAAATAAGTGCAGCTTGAGTTCCGCGCTCCCCCCTCGCGCTCCCCTTCAGGTAAATAAACGATGACATTTTGATACAAAATTTATGAAATTCGATTTTCTTGTTTTTGCTTTCACTTAGGTAGAGAAAGAGAGAGAGAGAGAGTTACAGGGGCGGCTGGCGGTATAGGCAGGCAATAATAATAGTCCAAGATTAAAAAAAAAAAAAAACAAAAACGAACGGTACCGTACCGAACAACACACACAAGTAAAACAATTTTGAGTTGATTTTAATTGCACTTCGTTTTTGTTTTGCAGCAGCACCAAAAACAAAACACAAGCCTGCCGCCCAGACAGCCAGTCAGCCAAAAGTCATCCAATCCAGTCCGTCCAGTCACAAAAGAACTCTCGAGACATACACAACACACCACACACACACACACACACACACACATACACTCTGCAACCCACATTCAAGACTGGCCAAAACACAAACACACATTCCAGCCAAGTAAACCAGAAATGCGTTAGATATAAGAGCGAATCCGATTCCGAATCCGAATCCCCCGTAAAGATGAGAGCCCCTGGCTTGCTGCTTGCCTATGCTCTAATCAGCGCCTGCTGCTTGACGCTTTGTGCCGCCTGCTCCTCGCGTCCCATGCCCAAGCCCCGTCCGGAGGCGCCGCCCAGCACAGAGGGACCCGGAGGTGAAGCTGGAGCCGTGCCAACACTGCCACCGGATAATGTGGCCATAACGACGCCGCGGCCGAACATCACCTTTCCCACGTTCAAGTGCCCGCCCACATATGCGGCCTGGTACTGCCTGAACGATGCCACCTGCTTCACCGTGGAGATCCACAATGACATCCTGTACAACTGCGAGTGCGCCCTGGGATTCATGGGGCCGCGGTGCGAGTACAAGGAGATAGACGGCTCCTATCTGCCCACGCGAAATCGCGTGATGCTGGAGAAGGCGAGCATTGTGAGTGGCGCTACCCTGGCGCTGCTCTTTATGGCCATGTGCTGTGTGATCCTATACATGCGGCACGAGAAGCAGCAGAAGCAGAAGCTAAACGACAGCGGCACCGATGTTGGCGATGTAGTGGGTGGCGGTGGCGGTGGCTGTCAGAACGATGGCATGGACGAGGTGGATGGCCGCAAGCCGATGCGATCAGCCCGACGTCCGTTCGCACCATGCCGGATCCTCTCGCTGGAGGAGGCCCACTACCAGGCGCTGGTCTCCAATCACCGCCCTAGGCACTGCAATTAATGCAACATTTAACACAAACTGAAACTGCAACTAATGATCGAACACAAGTGTTTTTATTTTATTTTTCTGAATGTCTAACATGTTTAACCGTCCCGTCTGTTTTTTTTTTTGTATTGTTTGTTTCTTTAATTCTATTTTTTGACAACGATTCGATAACGACTATATTAAATACTAGTATTAAGTACCCGCTGATGTGCCTCTAAAAAGATAGCAGAAGTATTACTGAGACGAGAGTCGATGATAGCCGCCTCTCCGAGGGAGTTTAGAGATAATCCAATGCAATTTTGGCAGCTAGCCGACCATTTATTTATTATTAATTTAACTTGATTTAACGCCCGCCACACGCGTAAACTATTAACGTTAATAAAAGCGAGAACAAAGCGAAGCGAAACGAAACGAAACGAAAGAGCCTAACTTTTAACTAAACAAAAACGTTGTTATTTCTTAATTGTTAAGTAAATTATAAATGGGAGAGCTAAAAGGCATGCAGCTATCACTAATTGAATCACCATACTAATCCCAGCCATCCATATTTCTGTTGCATCTTCCAGTCATGCCGCACAACAATCAAAATTCCGACGATGATCAGCTGGGACCACCCAAGGCCGATTTCAGTGCACCGCCACCATACGAGGCTAATGTGGGACCACACGGCACGCTGCCGGCTCAGATGCCATCACTGTCGCTGACCACGCATGTCAGCGGGCATGAGATGGGTGCCCAGATGCAGCTGCAGGGCGGCGATTTGGTGGGTCAGTTGCCGCAGGATATGCACGGAAAGCTGCCCACATACGAGGAGGTGCAGATGGAGAAGTCGCTAAATGGAGAGCTGCCGCCTGCCTTTCTGACGCTACCCTCGAACCAACAGTTGCCGCCACCGCCGAATCCACTGCTGCCGCCCAATCCGCTGCGTGATGGTGCGGCTGCAGTGCGTGCCGCCCAGCCGGCGCTGACGTTCATCGCCATCGATGCCAGTGATCCGGAGAACAGTCTCTCGACCACCGACAACTTGCTGGGCACGGACATCATGTTCATTACGGCCTTCATTGTGGCCTTTCTGTTCAACTGGATCGGCTTCCTGATGCTCACCTGTTTCTGTCACACAATCGCCGCCCGGTATGGCGCCCTCTCCGGCTTCGGCCTGTCGCTGGCCAAATGGACTTTGATTGTAAAGCACTCGACGGATCTGGCCTCCCACGAGAACTCATGGCTGTGGTGGTTGATCTGCGCCTTTGGCTTTCTGATTAGCATACGCGCCCTCATCCAGTATGTGAGCATCAAGCGGTCGTGGCGCCTCCTCTCGGCCTCGGCCCAGGAACGGTTGCTATTCTTCTACTAGGTGCGGGGTCAGGCGACGTCGCCTGTCGCGGATGCCATGTAAATACGTTAGATATACGAAGACAGACAGAGAGAGAGAGGGAGCAAGAGCAAGTAGTTTGGAATCGGCGTCCCAGGAGAGGCAGACGTTGCGTATGACCCCAACCATCCTTCCGACAAGCCTAATCCTTATCCTAATCCTAATCCGATCAGTCCTTCAGCGCATAACACACACACAAACACACACACGAAAACCAATATCGATGCGAACTTATTCTGGGTTAGTGTTTTCTCTAGTTAATGTGTTAAATAGCGCAACTTAGTCCACGGATCCCATAGATGTAGCATTAAACAAAAACGTTAAGCAAGCAGTGTGGAGGCGGGTGGTGCAGGAGACACCTGCCACCTGCAAACCAATTGAATCTAAATGTAAATGTAAATGTATGTGAATGTGTTAATGGATAATATCTCTCACCTGTATTACGCGTAGCTGGTTTACACCAAACCCAATACCCCGATCCCATCCCTTAGGCCAGCTAGTGGCGCCCCCGAGTCACGCCAACCCGCTCCAGCACTTGCACCAGAAACAAAGACACAAAACAAACACCAAAAACAACAACAACAACAAAAAAGCAACCAGAAGAAATGAAAGAAAAGTAAGAGGATAGAGGAAAAAATATGCCACCTATATTTTTTTGTTGATCCTACTTTACGCTGTGGTACTTAATTAATTAACTACACAAAAGCCAGCAGTAATACGGAATGCTAAAAACACACAAAACAACTATTGCTAGTATATATGTATGTACGATTATTGCCTATTATAACGTTTACAATTAATACGTTTAATCCCTTTGTATGTAAATTATACAGTGCATATGCATTGTAAAGGGCGCATCCTCCATTGTCCCCACACACAGGAGATGCGTCAGTTTTATGCAAATTCAATAAAAGTCGAATGAAGTCATTCAAATCCAGCGCGGTCTTCTTTTATATTTGGAGTTAATTGACAGTTGCAGGACGTTTATCTAACACACCATGCAACCGTCCAGCTTACGATAAATCGACATTAGCCAATCCTGAACAACATTTATTAAGGAATTGAATAAAATTATTGGTTTAGGGCTGAGAGGGCCAACTAGCTAGTAATATTAAACGGAACATCAAAATCGAGGAATATCAACGTCTTGTCGTGTCCGTCAGTATATCTACGGTATATTTTGATAATGGCATGGTAGATTTGGGTATATTTCTGTGGGTCTGGCCACTAACCATACAGTCATACTAACCATCGATAGTTTTGAATGTTTTGAAAAACAATCGATACTATCGTAATAGTATCGGGCTCAAATAATTATTAAAAAACCATTGACCTTTTTTATTTTCCATTGTTATTTACTAGTTACTAACTCGTATTTAATAGAGCGGGGCCAAGCCAATCATTTCATATCGGTTTCTGAGGTTCCAGTCCCACTCGACAAAACAAATCAAGTGAAATATTTATTTTTCCATATATGTACATTTGAAAATGACCGCCAATCTCATTTAGCTCACAAAAATATCGATATTATTCGCTCCCAAATCGTGGTGGTTTTTCAAAATTCGCTCTCAATTCGTGGTGGGTTTTTCAAATTTGCTCTCTTTTCAGTGGTGAAGAGAGCGTTTTTGTGGTGACTTTCCCCTCATTTTCGTGGTGTGAGAAACATGTTCTTAACGGGAACGCGTATGGAATGAAGATTCATTGTTGCGTCATTCCATACGCGTATGATACATTTGATTTGTATGGGAAAAATTTCAGCAACATGGGGAAATGAAGTAGCAGCATTGTTGTGCAACTTTGGCACGGAATGAGCAACAAGTCTGAATACCTTGGAAAAATAGATATTATGGACTTGAGATACTGTTTGTAATTTCAGGCTCCAATTAATGCCGAAACTAGCCAGTCTCTTTTGTAAAGACATAAACGAAATTTTTTAGCTCACGGGTACCAATAATAGGTATCAGAACCGGGATAAATGTATATATATAAAACAAAACATATGCATTAATAGGTAAAAAACATGTCAATCTAGTATAAAATCATAAATAATGTTTCAATGGAAATTGGAACAACAAATTTAACATCAATTAAAAGAAATAAGGTATACAAAAGTCCATACGCATAAAAGAAACTTGGTTGACCAGCAACACTGACGTCACATTTAGTCAACATTTACGTTTTATGCTTTGGCCGCTTTTGTTTGAACCTTATTATGTAAGCAATCCAATGAAAAATAATTCTGAAAACTAGCCAATCCTAAACAATATTCATTGAGGAATTGGATAAAATTCTTTTTTTAGTGCTGAGAGGGCCATCTATATAGTAATATTAAACTGAATATCAAAATTGAAGAATTTCATATCACAAAATATCACGGTATGGCAGCCCGCAGCAACTACGAATTGCAGGAGTCTGGTAGCGCCACAAAACGACGACACATTCGTTTTATGTTGTTTTTGTTTGAACCTTAATATGTAAATAATCCAATAAAAAGGACTTCTAAAAACTAGCCAATCCTAAACAAAATTCATTGAAGAATTGGATAAAATTATTTGTTTAGGGCTGAAAGTCCCAGCTAGCTAGTAATATTAAACGGAATATCAAAATCGAGAAATATCAACGTTGAATGTTTTGAAAAAACAATCGATACTATCGTGATAGCTCTAATAATTATTAAAAAGCCATTGAAACCTTTTAGGAACTTGTCCATTGTAAAAATTAGATGCCACCTGTCGATTTGCTTACAAATTTGTCTTCGTATTTTAGAGCAGCCAAACCAAACATATCAAAAGCGCAACCACTGTAGCTCGATACTATCATGATAGTCTCAAAACCGTCGATAGTAGAGGCCATCAGTAAAATATCGATACTATCGATAGTGCCCTCGATGGTTTGACACCTCTGAACACTGCTCTTCTTTTTTTCTCTCGTTCGGATGTGTGTGTGCGTTCCTGCGAATCTTTGAGTAATATTTTTCACAAGTCGGCCATATTTAAAAACTGCTATAGTTTGGCAGCAAGCAGTGTAATTAAAAAATAAAGTGCAATAACCAACGACTAAATAAACGCCGTTGAAAGTCGTAAGTACAAAATGTGAAAGACATCACGCAATATTTGCGTTTTTGTGGTGGTTGGTGTCCATGAAAAATTCTTTGTGTGTATCTGTTGGCAATTTTCCTGTTCGTTTTTTGTTTCTCCCTTGTCAGCCAGCTTGTCTGGGGCCGCTGAAAATAGTTATTATTGATTTTGTGTTAATGTATATCTGCAAGTAACGATTTAAAATATTTTCCTCGCTTTTTCGTCAATAATTGTTTTTGAGCAGGGGTAATGATGGTGTGGATGTAGGGGGTGGATAAGGTACAGCTTACAAAAGCCTTAAGTTCTAATTAAAAATCATCAACAGTTTCAGTTTAAATTATGTTTTATCAAAGGCATCGGCCTTTTTCTGCATTTTCATTGTGTTTTTTGTCTCTTTCTGGCCCGCATGGTCGCCCGGCCGGCTTTCTGACTCAATCAATTGCACACACACGTACACCACACATCTAGACAGCGTCAGCGCTCTGGCAAGTCGCCATCTTGCTTTTCTCTCTCCCCGCATCTAGACGGACGCACTAAATTTGAGGCTCTTTTTATTGACCATAGTAATTACCCTGCACTTAGGGTTGCTACCTGGAAACCGGTTTTAATGTAATTCTCTCACGTTAGCGCTAAAAGTGTTTCCATTTCCTCGCTGGAAGTGTCTTTTCTGCAGAAATTTATGTGCCTTTCCGTGTGTGTGTATACGCACGCTTGGTTTGGCTGTAATTGCCATTAGCGTTGCCAGACTAACGCAAAGTAGTAATAACAACAAACACAAAAAATCATCAACCCGCTTGAACCATTGAAAATTGCTTTGTTTTTATGTTTGTTACGATTTATTTTCAGCCTGTTTTATGTAATTTGCTCGCTTTAAACCCCAAACACACATCCCACCAAATCCCCAACACTTAACCCAATAGCAACTCATCAAAATTATGGTCAGGTATGCTTCATCCCCTCATCCACGCCAACCCCTCTGCTTGCTTGTGCTGTGCAGTTCCAGAATAATCTCTCCAACTAATCCTATCTTGAACTCTTGCAGCGTTAAAGTCAACGGAAACCAACAGCAGCAGCAGTATCAGCCCCATCGTTCAGTAAACTCGAGTGGCGCCAATCTCAAGGCAAACGTCAATATGGCATTCCGGGGAAATCAGAACCGTAATCGCAACTTTGGTGGCGGCGGCGGCGGTGGTGGTGGTGGCAATAACTACGGCGGACCCATGGGCGCCAACCGAATGGGCGGCATGAACATGTCACCCTGGGAGTCGCAGAACCCCGGCGGTGGACAGTTTGGCAACAATATGCGTCAGGGTGGTGGACAGATGAACGCCCAGGCCATAAATTTGGCCAACAATCTGCTGAACAACCTGTTCAGGAACCAGAACCCACCCTCGCTGCTGGATTTGCCGCGCGGCGGAGGTGGCATGGGAAACCGTAATCAACGTGGTGGCCCGGTATGTACAATCACTCCATTCGATCTAGTGTTGGATGACAAAATACAAAGAAAATATATAAATTGTATGTCTTAAGTATTATTATTTTTGCCGATATTCGTGTGTCAAACGTATATGAGATTCTGTGGTGGAGTTGAGGAGACAAGAGAGAGACCAGAAACCCCACACGAAATGAGATCTAATACAGGTGTTCCGATTGCTTACAAGCCAAATGCCTTTAAGAAAAGAGATAAATTCCGAAATGAAGAACTGAATGCATTTTTCAATATCAATAAACTTTATAAAATTTTATAAAATCGCCGCCAATATCAGGTTGGGAGAATTTCTATTTGAAATCAAAGTATGAACACTATACTGAATAATCCTTCTGAAGCGCTATACTCTCGTCAATCTTGTATACTTAATATACTTTGTATATTTTATCTTAACTTTTTTGGTTGTACCTATGAAGTACACTGTAAATACAGTTTTCATTCACCATGGTCCTATAGAAATATTTTGGGAAAAATATCTTTCTTATTTCAAGTACGGAAAATCTGATGGAAATGTTTTCCAAAGGCAATTTTGGAGCCTCTGAAGACGCGCCTTAGTAAATCTATCTCATATCCCCTACTCCACTGCAGAACAAACCACAATTATATTTTATTTATTTGTTTTAACATCGATTAGTTTGATTAATTGCTAAACGTAGTTATTGCTTTCCTTTTTAAAAGATAAACCGAACCACAAAAACCAAATATCAAATTGTAGTTTGTAGTTTACTAAAACCAACCAAAAACCATTCAAGGAAAACCTAACCCATATTTGCCACACTTTTTTTGTTTGTTGATGAACCTAAGAATCGTTAGAAAATAAATATGGATTTGTGCAGTTTATTGTAGGGATAGAATGATGATGTGAAGGAGGATGATTGTAGTAAAAGGTTTTCAATATAAAAAAGCATTTATTCCATTTAAAATGCAACTTTTGTTTTTAGTTTTCTTTAGCGAAAACTGCACAAATCGAAGCAAGAATAAAGTCAATAGAAAGAATTATATTATATATACACGCATATATAACGATACGAAAAAAAATGTACCTATAAAACCATGTACCGCCAACACTTGCTCCCATTCAACGAAGAAAAGAGTATGACGATGAATCCAGATGGAACGATAAGTAATTGATCTCTTACTAGATGTACTTAAGCATTTAATAATTACCTTTTTACCATAATTATAAATTGAATTTATCCAAACATTCAACCAACAAAAAACCAGATCCAATGCCAGTTCCTCTGGCTGGACTCTAAAACTAATTTCACAGCGCTTTTCTAATTTAACAATTCTATGTTTTTTATTCTCTCTTCCAAAACCGAAAAAAAACCAAAAATATGCCAAACAAAATTCGATGCTTTTCCAAA